ATCCAAGAACAAGCAAAGCAAAACCCTAATCTAAGGGAACTAAAGATGTTAATCTAGTTGAGTTAGTGCCTTAGAATCATCTAAAACTAGCACCTAAACTAAAATCAATCAAAAATAGAAAACTATCTTATAAATTTCTACAAAAATTCCTAAGGGATCCTAATTCAATTAAGAATGCCTCATACAAAAACCAGGGACTAAGTCATCTATTAAGTCCTAAAATTAAGTCCTAACCAAAGGTATCAACCATAAACCCTAAAAATGGAGCTTCTAAAGGTTTCAACCTAAACTACCATCTATGCTCATAACAAAAATGTGATAAAATTCTATGGGGAGCATGCATATCTATGCTAACTACTCACAAAAAATCAGGATCAAAATCATCACCACATGATCACACAAAATTCCACAAAATCAAGTATCAAACATAACTATTTTAATATCAATTAAAATGTGAAAATTCCCATAAAATCAGAAAATGCATGAAATAAAAATATTTTTTATCTAAAAAATACTAGATTCAATCATGAATATAATGCAAAAAGAATGGGGTTAATTGGATCATTTTTCATTTTTTATGATTTTATCAAGAACCATGAATAAAATGAAAAAATTAAAGAAAATCAAACAAAAATAACCAAGCGCGTGGTGCAGATAGTAATAAAATCAATTCAATATTCATACTGGGCCAAAAGGGGGGTGTCAGTAGAAAAGCGCCTAAGCCCATATCACAATCAGAAATTAATATGGAAATGGAAAGAAAAAGGAAAAAGTCACGGTGCAGTAAGCAAGAGAATTCAGTTCAAATTCACAAATGGGCTCGCTGGGGGGTGCGGATAGTTGTCTCTTACTAAAGCCCAAAACCATTTGTTTAATGATACGCAGCGTTTCAATGTTTCTGAACCCTTCACAATCTGAGGACAAAGCTGGGCCGTGCGATCTTGCTCTGGTCAATGGTCGTACGTGAATCTGATGGCTGGGACTTCATCACCTACCTCTAGCCACGAAAATGGAGGGAAGCATCCATTGTAACAGAGTTCAAACATCAACCTCATCCTCACTCGGGCTCCCTCAAATCTCCATCGAAATTCAATATCTAAAACACTAAATCACTCTAAATCTCTCCCTGAGTCTAACCCTAGCCTCAGAATTTCTTGAATCAATCTCTAACCGAAAACACGATTAAGAATCAAAATTATACTCAAACCTCAACTATCACCATTATTCAAATTGTTTGGTCTAGAATGTTCACCACATTACCCTAATCAGTTCTTGCTATAATACTCACATTATCTCTCAATATCCAACATGTTCTTGATCCAAACAGAAATTGTGTCATCTCATTGATCATCACCAAATCCTCTCTATGTTTCCAGAAACGATCTCCTAACCACATACTATCAATCTAACCTAACAAACTGAGGTAATTCTACTTAAATTAAGGTGAGGGATGAAAGATTCAAACCTGTGAATTCTTGAATAACAGATGTAGCAATTCTTCAATTCAACCCTTCTACTGCTCTGGAATCATTCAATGTACCAGGTTCTTGCTTCTGTATGCAAGAGAATTGAGTGCAAATGCTTGGAACTCCAAACCCGATAGTGACTTGCAGGTGCTGAAATTCAATTGCTCATACACGATTCAGCCATGGATTTGCTTGGGATTTGCTATGGAAACACTCACACACATTCAAGAAAGTTGTTAGGATCAAAAGAAAAGATCAAAATGGTGTGGAATGCTGAAACAGAATTCAAGTTGCAATGAACAATGTGAAGTTGCAAACTCTCTTCTCTCCCTCAATTCTCACCAACCCTGCACTTGAACCCCTTCTAATCAATATATATATGATGTTGGACCTCTCTAGAATCTTCTGGAATCATCCAAGGAGATGTTGAATTTCTCATGTCATCAAAAATACCATCTCATGCCATTCTCACCCCAATTCTGGTTTCACTTGTTGCAGCAGCTTGTTATGATCCCAAAATCTCTCCAAATGAGATAGTAGATGTGTTACAATGCCTTGGAAGCTTGTGTATTGATCTCTCATGTGTTTTGCAAATGTTACTTAAGATGTAAGTAACCACTTTTCAAAGCAAGTCCACAAATTACACCTCAACTCAAAAATGTGGCTAAACCAAAGTTCTTAAAATGCTTTTTAGAGTCAAAATGATATATTACATGCCTTGGTTTGGATGTGTGGATCAAAAATATCAATTTCCAACTTGGGTTTATTTAACTTATACCCTTATTTTAGGTCATTTTTGCAACTTTGAGCTACAAGCACTTCCAACATCTCATGACCTCTTTACTAGCCTTAAAACATCATTTTGAACAAGTTTTATGTTGAACATTTTCCCATTTGAAGCTTGGAAACAGGAGTTATGGCGTTATGCTTGAAATGACCTGTAATCTGTAAATGACCAAAATACCCTTGACTTATCAAAGCCATAACTTGAGTTCTACAAATCCTATCAAGGACTTCTAGTACTATCTAGAAAGCTAAAAGGATAAGGAACAACATTCATGTTGACCAAAAGTTCATAGAAATCATCCTTCTAGGGTAAACGTTTGATGCAAGTTGGGTAACTTTCAAGCTCCAGATTCACATGCCTCAGATGACCTGTAACTTGTCAAAGTCATAACTTGAGTTCTACAAATCCTATCAAGGACTTCTAGCACTCAAATTAAATCTAAGATCAAGATCTACAACATTCATGTTGGGGGCAAGATGAGATGACAATCACATCTTGAGCTAAACTGCCTTGAAGATAGGGGTCAAACTAGGGGATTTTACACTGTCAAGCCTTAGAAACCCTAGCTTGAAACTTCTCAAACTCTTCAATCATGATGAGTTAACCTTGGAATCATCCTTATAACATTTCAATGCATCAATCCATGATCACATGGCTCTTGGATTAGGTCTCAACCTTCCTCAAATCATTAGTTGTCCTAGGGTTGACCCAGTCAAACCCTAATTGCATCAATCATGGCTGAGTCTTCTTAATCTTGCACAATGACCTATCTAGGCCTCATGATGGTTTTCAAGACATCTCATAAGCTCTCTCAAAGCTTCAAGTCCACATTCCTGGCTTCAGAATCATCTGAGGAGCTCCCACAACTCTCAAGTTAGGAGGCACACACTCTTGGTTTCAACCACTCTCTCTGAGGATCTTTTGACTTCTCTGACAAGGATATCAACCCTTGAACACTTGAATAAGCTTATTGGCTAGCCTCAAAGTCTTGCATAGCCCTTAACTGGTAATCATACCTCTTGATCTCCTGCACACATGTCAATGAAATGCAAATGATAATGGTAATGTGAATGAAATGAAACATAAGCTAGGTAAAGAAAAGTTGGGCAAATTTTGGGGTGCAACACTCGTTCGTTTATTTCTTATGAGTGGGCTAAGCGTTTGAATTTGTTCGTGACTTCTTGGGGCGGTGACATGGTTATTGAGACTCCCGCTTCGGGGTCGGTAACTACATCTTTGGTGTGTGTAAGTTGTCCTTTGACCATGTATGGTAAAGACTTCAATATGGATTTAGTGTGTTTGCCGTTGGAGGGATTGGACGTAATCTTGGGTATTAACTGGTTGCAATTTAATCGAGTTCATATAGATTTCTATCACAACACTACAAGAAAAAAAGAGATTTACGACACTTGAGTTGCGATAATTATCACAAAACCGTCCTTATTCCTGGATTGCGACGGTTGTCACGACAGTTAGGGTCAATTGTCGTAGATTTTTTGCGACAGTTATCAAAAAACCATCCTTATTCCTGGACTACGACAGTTCTTACGACGGTTTGAGCCAACCATCGCAAATTTTTTAAGCATGTTGTATAAAATAATGCGACAGTTACCAAAGAACCGCCCTCTTTCCACACTCGCGACAGTTAAGGCGAACTGTCGCAATTACTTTAACCAATCATAATCACTATTCTTTTTATTCCTTTAATTTTCCACTTTTTTCTAACCTTTTAAATTTTATTAATTAATTTAATAAATAATTATTATATATTTCATGACAATGTAGCTTAATATTTTTGTCTAAAATAATAGTAAAATATTTTCTGTTTTATTATACAAATAGTTAACTTTTATTCAAATTAATTTTGGTAACAATGTTAATATATATATATATATATATATATATATATATATATATATATATATATATATATATATATATATATATATATATATATATATATATATATATATATATATATATATATATATATATATATATATATATATATATATATATATATATATATATATATATATATATATATATATATATATATATATATATATATATATATATATATATATATATATATATATATATATATATATATATATATGTTTTAACATTTCAAGCTCATACGAAGCTTTTCTGTTGCGACGGTTTACACCAACCGCCCTTTAATTCCACCCCCATAAAATCCCGGTCACGACAGTTGTTTGACCGCCACTCCATAAATTATAATATTAGTTATCAGTCTAGCCAAATTATGAGTACCATGAGTAGAGGACTAATTAACATTAAATCTTTTTATTTTCTCATTATTTTTTCTAGTTTTTTTATTCACATTATGTTTTAAGTGCGTACTCAAACCGTAGAACTTCTACCCCAAAATTTCATCTTAGTACATTGTGAACGTAAACCCTAGAACATCTATCCAAAACCAATTTGACCAAATTGATTTTCACTTGCTCGATTTAACCTTACTTTCATATTATTATCAAATCAATTTCACCTTACTTGATATCCTTTCATTAACCATCACCGTATTCATCTCTCGATTTTAACTTGTTCTTGATTTTACTTCTAGTGGCTACAACATCTCATCTCAGCAACAACACCTTCTTTTCGAGGTAAATTTGCTCCCATCTTTCACAATTTTGTATTTTTGTAGATTCAAGAGTTTAATCGTAATGTAAACCTGCTTTAACCATCCAATAGATTAACATAAAATTTTCAATGTCTTTATGTTGATTTGGTCTACAGTTCGATGGGATTTTTGTTGTCCCGATTTGCTTAGGATAGTTATTGTTATTGTTGCTTCCTCCTACATTCGGGTATGTTGTAGCCAATTGTCGACCATACACTTCTGCGGGTCTCCAAAGCAAAACTGCATCGTCGTTATCTCATCAAATGAGGAACAAGTTACTCTCGAAACTCATTCATCTAGTTCGACCCATACAAAGCCCAATCCTAAGTCGAGTGCAACGGGCTCCAGAGGAAGCAAGAAAGCTCGTGTTTCCAATTTTGTGCCTTGTCTATCTAAGCTTCGTGAGGTGATATCAATCAATCCATTTACTTTAGTTATTCATTTTATTAAATTGTCCTTGTTTTTTATTGGTACTTCCATCTGTGTGACCTATTTTTCACTGTGGTACCTTAGTTCTAATTTCATTTTTAAAAAAAAATGACTAAATAGGGGAGAATATCATATGATGACTGACATTGTTTGATTGCAGATAAACTTGTTTGATGGTGATTTCAGTGAAGTGTTTACTAGGTTAAAGGTATTCACTGGTATGTTGTTTCGGTGTTTTTTGCTTTAACATGCATATTTGCTTTTATATGAACTTGGGAACCTTGTTATCAAGAATATAATTGGTCTGCTATTGAAATATTTGATGAGCATAAGTTTTGAAGGTTCTGTCAAATATATATTATCTTTAGGTTATTGAACTATATCTACTATTTTAATGGTTTTAATTTTTCATCTATATGGTGTTGCACCCTAAAATTTGCTCAACCTTTATTCACATGGTTTATGTTTCAATATCATTGGCATTTGCATATAGAGTCATGTACATAGTCTAATCATCTGCATAGCATAAGCATAGCAAGTCATCCAACAGGGAACCAAGCATTATTCTCATCTCTATGAGCCTATCAAGAGGTTATTATTCAAACTCAATTTCATTCAAGTCATCAGAAAGAATTTGAAAGCTGGGAAGTCAATGGATCAAGCAGGGCATCTATCTCCTATCTGAGGGTATCTGAGGATTACCAAGTAAGTTGTGAGCTGTGGGTTGAGCATGGAGAGTATCTAGTTATCATAGAGGGCTTGGAAAGTCATTTGGAGAAGGAGGCAAGTCATTGATGTGATCACAAGAATTGCAGTTGAAGACAGTCAACTAGGGTTTCATCTGGGTCAACTCTAGGTCAAATGACTGATTGAAAGGCATTAAGGGCTATTGGAGAGATGTGGGGTTCATCATTTGACATGAAGAATAAGGATAGGGTGATATTTCAAGAAGAAATCCAGAGAAATAAAGGAGAAGAGGAGTTTCTAAATTAGGGTTTCTGTGTAAAATCCCCTAGTTTAGGTCAAATTTCCAAGCAAGATAAGTCAAAATGCAAGATTCAAATGGATCCTTGGCCAACATGAAACTTGTAGAGGATCTTAAGACCTTTAATTTGAGTGGTGGAAGAGATCAAGGAGATTTATATAACTCACGTTATGGTCCTTGCAAGTTACAGGTCATTTAAGGTATCTGAAATTTTGTCTGTGAAAGTGACTTGTCTTCCAAGCAATTTTTACCCCTCAAGGAGATTTCAAATGAATTTCTGGTCAACAGAAGAATTGTTCCTCATTGTCTTAGCTTTCTATAATGGTATGGAATGCCTTCATATGATTTGTGTAACTCTACTTATGGTCTTGGCAAGCAAAGGGTATTTTGGTCATCTGAGAATTACAGGTCATTTCAAACCTATGCCCAAAACTCATACAAGGAAGCTTCAAATGGAAAACTTCACAACATAAAACTTGCTCCAAATGACATTTTGAGTCTATAAAAGTGACCATGAAAGATTGGAAAGACTCATAGCTCAAGGTTTCAAAATTGGTGAATTTAATGAATGAAAAATGACCTAAAAATGAGATTTTTCATACTTTGGCCAAATGAGGTGAAATTATAGGTCATTTTGATTGGAAAAATCATTTTGAGAACATTGGCAAAAGTAGAATTTTGAGTTTGGTTCAAGATTTAGGAGTTATGCATGGTTACTTACAATGAAAGTTACATAATCCAAAATGTAAGGAAAGAGTGCATGGGAAGCTTCTCCAAACTTCTAGGACTTTCTAAACTCATGTATATATTGGATTGAAGAATTCCATGCCATGGTTGGTGAATCATATTGCTCATAACACCAAGTTTCATACCTTTCTTCCAATTTGCAAAATCAATTCAAACTCTCTCCAATCTCTATCAATATCCATTTTTCTTGATCTGATCTTCATTGTAACAGCCCAAATTTCATTAAATAATTAATTGTAGTAATTAATTTATTTAGTGGGATTTTATCAATGTTGGAAATTAATTTTTATTAATTGGGATTAATAGAGAATTAAGAAGGAATTGGAGAGGAAGGAAAATGAAGGAAATATATAAGAGAGAAAGAAAAGAAAAGAAAGATAGAAAACATTTGGAAAGAAAGAGGAAAGAAGAAGAAAGGAGAGAAAGAGAAGAGAAGAAGAGGAAAAGTGGAAATCATCAAGAACCAACATCAAAGCTCCGATTAATCGAGGTAAGGGTGAGAAATGTTTCTATTTGATCATTGTATGATGTTATGTATGTTGGGTTGGGGTTTTGGTAGAGTTTTCATCACTTTCCAATTAGGGCAAAAGTTGGAATAATCGGTAGATTGATGATTTAATCGGTTGAGACTGAGCAATAATGCCGTAGAATAGTTGGGTAACATGTGTCGATGCTGTTTGTACTGATTTTGTTGTGTGAGAAGTTGGATGATGGTGGATGGTGGAGGTGGAACAGAATAGGGTTCTGTTCTGCGCAGGTTCGCTGGCTCTCGCCAGGCGAGCGAAGGCGAAGCTTCGCCAGGCGAAGCCTAGCGAATGTTGGCGAATAATTATATTTAAGTCCCAGTGGACTTCGCTGGTGGGTTCGCCAGGCGAAGTGGGATAGCGAAGGTGCTGGCGAATGGTGGCGAATGAAGTCAGTAGCTACTGACTTAGGCTCGCTGGGAAGTCTCGCCAGGCGAAGCCTAGCGAGTGTTCGCTGAGAGAGTTCGCCAGGCGAAGGCCAGGCGAAGGTTCGCTGCGAGGGTTCGCCAGGCGAATGGAGGCGAATGTGACAGCATTTTTCCTTTGCTGTGTTGTTCGTGTAGAGATGGTTTGGTTGCCTCTCAGAGATCAATACCTCTATGATATGATATAGATATGATCTATTGTGATGATGTGTGTTGTGGGTAGCCTACGGGCGTGAATCCTAGAATTGTGATTTGAATGTTAATTGCATCAAGTATAAATACATGTGAACATAATGGGTGATTATGTGTGTATTATTTAATGAACTTGTGAATGCTTGATGTGTATACAATTATGTGATGAGTATGCATGAGAACATTGTGAATATGTGTGCATCACTTGTAATTGTATGATTGGTATTGTGATGTGAATACCTTGATTGTTGTGATATATGCTGTATGTGCAATCATTGTGTAATTCTTGAAGAGATGAATTATGTAAATGCATGAGATTAAGATGTCGGTCTTAAGTGCATTTGTTGTGACTGATTGTACATGCATCATTTAGTCAAGAGGCAATGTCTGTTAGTTTCGTGGAAACTAGTGGCTTGTCCCAAACCTAGAAGAGTGGGTTTGAAGGCTTAGAGGACGGGCCTTTGTGGTTATCGGTCTAGAAGAGTGGACCCGGTTTAATGTAAAAACCGAAAAAAGATAACGAGAGTCGGTACCGCATTGCATGAGTTGCATTGAGTTATTGAGTCACATTGATATATGACATATGCATGAAGAGATGCTTATGTGTGAATGATGAGATTGTGGAAATTGTAAGTGTATGCATAATGTGGAAATGCTTTGTGAATATCCAGGTTTGTCTATATATGTGTGGTAAATATATATGACTAAGAGAATGAAGTATGGTGAGAAATGTGAATATGTGTTATATGACTACCTATATATATATAATCTCATGCTTTGATTATTATGGTTATATTTCTCACCCTTCTGCTGTTTTATAATGCTCTATGAGGCATTGCAGATTAGGATGCTGGAGTCCTTTTGTGAAGTTAGTCTTCATTCTTTTGTGTCGGCTGCTCTGATATGTAACACCGGGTAGTTAGACTAGTATAGTCATTCTTTTGTGATACATTGCGATGTATCAGCTGATGTGGTTTTGTAATCTAACTGATATGATGCATTAATCTGGATGACTTATGTGCATTTGAATTAATATTTTGGAACTGATCAAATGATGTTATTTTCCTCTCAAATTGAATGTTGAAATGTGAATTCTAAAACTACGAAATTGTTACATATTTTATGGAGCAAAATGTTAAAGAGTTTCGTTGGTGAAATTGTGGCATCCTTCTTTTATACCTTATTATAAAACCTTTTTACTCTGATAATTTGTATGTGCTTAATTGTTCTATATGCATTTATTTGGGGTGTAGAAGGGGGTGTTACATTAGTGGTATCAGAGCAGGTCGGTCCGTCCGGCCAAGTTGTTAGAGTGTTTTTCCCTGTGTGTTATTGATATGCGTGTGTTGCATTATCAATATTGGTTGTTCTTACGTGGTTCTGTTGCTGGAATTAGTAAGATGGTTGCAGGAAGGAACGACGAAGCGATTGCGGAGGCATTGACGAGATTGGCGGGGGCAATTGGGCAGAATCCTCCGGCCAATGTGAATGAGAGGAATCATGCTGATGATGGATTCCGTGCTTTGGGGAAATTCCAAAAGAATAACCCTCCGGTATTCAAGGGAACTCATGAACCGGACAAGGCACAAATTTGGTTGAAAGCCGTGGAAAAGATTTTTCGAGTTATGAATTGCTCGGATGCACAGAAGGTGCAGTTTGGGACTCATATGCTCGAAGAAGAAGCTGAAGATTGGTGGGGTAATACTCGCCAAAGATTTGAGGAAGATGATATTGTGATTACTTGGGATTTGTTTAGAGAAACCTTTCTGGAGAAGTATTTTCCAGAGGATGTGCGGGGGAAGAAAGAGATCGAATTTCTTGAGTTGAAGCAAGGTAATTCGACGGTTGCTGAGTATGCGGCGAAATTTGAGGAGTTGATCAAATTTTGTCCTCACTATAATACTGGTAATGCTGAGAGGTCTAAGTGCCTCAAGTTTGTAAACGGTTTGAGACCCGAGATTAGACAAGCTATTGGATATCAGGAAATCAGACGGTTTTCTGAGTTGGTTAACAAGAGCAGAATTTATGACGAAGACAGTAGGGCTAGGTCCAGCCACTACAAGAGTCTAAGTGACAAGAAAGGAAAGGGACAATTCAGAGGAAAACCTTACGTGACTCCTGCTGATAAGGGGAAACAAAAGGTTGGTTTTGGCAAGAGGCTAAGTGGGGGAGTTTCTACCCCGGTTAGGTGTTACAATTGTGGTGAAGCGGGGCATCGTGCCCCGGAGTGCAAAAGTGTTGATCTGAAGTGTTTTAAGTGTGGCAAGCCAGGCCACAAGGCTCGGGAGTGTAGAAGCGGTGCGGGTGTTACTTGCTATAACTGTGGTGAGCGAGGACACATCAGTACCAAGTGCGATAAGCCGAAGGAGAATCA